TTGCAGCATCACTCCTCTTTTTAATTATGCTAATGCATTTACTGATAAAAATTACAGATGTTATTTATCATCATTAGGCCAGTTTTTTAAAAATAAAACTTTAACCTTAGCCAGCATCTTTGACTGTCTCTCTGTATCTTATTTGGTGCACAAATTTCTCCAGCATGTATGTGTAAACATCTGCGGTGCTCATGGTGCCACTCTCCTGCTCTAGAAGTTATGAGGGCTCGCTATTTGCTATCCCAAAGTCCATAGTCTTCTGCCTGGCCTTTAGAGCTCATAAACTGGCTCCACCATCTCACTTACTTTTTCTATTTTGTTTCTTGGTTTTACTTCCTAGAATGCAGCCGCTGGTCTGGGTGGACATGTCACTGTGCTTCAAAGAAAAGATTACTGACACCTCAGCGTTTGCCTGGTATACTGGAAAGACTCCAAGAATGATGGACATGTTTAGAAAGTCTTCTCTCACTTATTCTAGTCATTTCTTTCCCTTTAAATTCTTACTGTCTTATCACCCAGCTTTGTACTATTTGGAATGTGTTCACTCACTGCTTCCTTACATTAGCTATCTCACTTTCTTCAACATACTTAGTTCCTAGGGACCAGAGACTATGCCTTGTATGTCCTCTGTGTTTTCAAAAAAGCCTGGCATCTAGCTGTTCTACAGGTAAATATTAGGTTTATATTTCATTTACTGAGTTCAATTTATTATAATGTAATAAATTATTTACTGTCTCCTATACTTATATGTTTTCACAATTATTTCTATTAATGATATACACTACAGCATGGACCTATGTAGTTTAATAAACATTAATTATGCAAAATCATAAAATTCCATGTTTGAAGGCAGTTTCCATCATTCTAAGTAGGGTTTGTTTGGTTTCTTGCTTTTGGTTTTTTCTTTTCTGTATCTGAGGCTAATATCCAGAGACATTATATGATCTGCCAGCTGGTGGCCTTACTAAGTCAAATAAAACTGATAATGTTAAAGTGAAAAATTACAGATTAAACACGATAACACCATTTGTTAAGACAGGTATCCACATTTTTCCAATATCCATAGACAAAGTACCACCATTTACTTTTTATTATAAAAAAAAAAAGTGTTGCTTCCCCAGAGTTAAAAGTACTCTAGCAGAAATGAACTCATTTCATTTCACTGATTTCCTGGGAAAAAAATTTGGACACTATATTAACTCTGTTATAAATAAAGGTATTCTCCAGAGAGTTGAAACGGAAGGACTCAAGACTGTTCACCAGAATTGGTGGTTAAAACTTTAATCCCCTCACGATAAAGTCACATCTACCCACTGGATGGTATATCAGATCTACAAACATAGTATCATATAAAAATAGTTTTTAGAATGAAAAAAAATCACATTAACATCTTCCAAAATAGTTCTCCACTAAAATTGTTCAGAACAACAGATATAAAAGGGGAAGCAAAGAGGAAAATCTGGAGAATTTTATGTTCAAATGATAGTGTTTCTTTAAACTATATGACTGCATATAGCATAAAGATAAAAATTCGAGTGATTCTTCCCTTGTCTTTATATAACCTGGAACAGTAACTATTTTTTCCCCTCAGGGTAATTTTTAAATTGCTATAGAGAGAAGAAAAGATGAGATATAAAAGATGGAAACTGCTACTCAAGTTCCCACATAGACCCAGGGGGGTGTCCAAAGTAACCAGCAAACCTTCCCCTGAGAAGTAACTGTTACATGGTTAATCCATTGGAACACATTGTTCTAAATGGAGAGACAAAAGAGATTTGTTATAAAGTCTTCTACTTTCCTCCCAAGAAGACAACAGTGGATTAGGTGACCAGAGAGATTGCTTGGAAACTTCCAACCTTGTGGTGCTTCTGAGTCATGTCTTTAGTCAGGGATAAAGTCAATTTTGAACCATGTGGCTCATGCTTCAGCAATGCTTTGCTCTAGACAGATGGGCCATATGGAAACCATGAACTGGCTTCATAGACAGGACCATGATGTGCCAATGGTACATTTTTATGCTTTCTGTTTCTGTTCAAGTGGTCTAGAGAACAATATATTACCATAAGACATGGCATTTAATGTGACTTCAGTTAAATTCTGAGTAGTGATTGTGTTTTATATTATAGATGTTTTTAATGCAGTGATTTAAAAAAAACTTTCATTTAACAAAAGATACCTAAAACATTTTGTATGTTAAATATGCTCCAATTCTTCCTTAAGGTACTGGCTTACTTTGATATACCACTAAAGTATGGTTGAAAAAGGGAGGAAAAAGCTATCAAAATCATAAATGTCAAAGATTTTCTTTCCAAAAAGATCTGGCAACAATGTATGATACTTTCTTAAAAGATTTTAATTACAAAAAAGGAAAGAAAGAAAAAAAGAAAAAGAAGGGAAAAAAAAGAACAGGTTCAAATTGCTAGAACTAGAAGGTAAGCACCATCCCTTGGAAAATTAGTGTGAGGATGCAGAGTTCATTCATGGTTTGCTACTTTAATAATAATTACAGAAGTAACAAACATTTCACTTCAAGATTTAAAAAAGAAACTCAGTGGTTTTTTTTTTTCTGGATTGGGTTTAAAATTTAATGAGAAACTGTGTGGGTGAAGAAAAATTACAGTTGTTGGCACAATACCAAAATGGAACAAATGAACAGCACTTACGAGATTGCATGTTTCGTATAGGACGTGGGAGGGCTACAGAATAGCTGAAATTAACATGTGGAAAATAACTGCCCTGGTTCCTTAGAGGTATTCAGAAACTATCATATGTGCTCACTCAGCTTGTAAATCTTTGCAAATGCTATGATGAAAAATGATCATATTTCATTATTATAATTAAAATATCGTGGTCTCAGATGCTTTTCTTAAGAAGTAAAATATGAGACATAGATCATATGGGTACAATTGTTTAAAAGGGGAAGAATTTAAGGACATATAATTTAAATGGTTTTTCAAGGAGATTTATTAAAACACAATTACACTGTATGCCTAAGATTAGAAAAGAATAACAAGGTTTCCCCATGTAATAAATGAACATCATATCTTACAGATTATAATTCTTGGCTTCTGGTATTTTCTGTTTTCATTAGAGAAAACCTTATAGGAAACTATAAAATTTGTTTATCCCAATTTAGTATGATAACTATTCCAGTGACATATGTGTGCTGTATTTATGGCAATACTTTTATGAAAGACTTTTAATCTTCCATAAACAGATAGATTTGAATAATTTCAATGATTAAAATTAATTTTAAGATTAATTTTTAAGTAATAAACAATCATGTGAGATAATTTATATCTGAAGAGAATTGCTTTTTTCTATCTTTTTATCTTGCTTTAAATGTTTTACAAGACTTTTACCTATAATTTTACTTTGTCTTATAACAATTACTTAATGGTAATAATTGAGATTGGAATTCTACACTTTGGTTCATAGTCGTTTGTTCACTCAGACTATTTGCTTTTCTAAATTGTTTGTCGCCATTTATAAACCACCAAAAGGTGCCTCCTGTTGCATTACTTCCTGCTACTCTTTTAAAAGATGTGGTTTTGAAGACAAGAAAGGATCTGTTCTGGAAGACATGCGTTTGTCCCAGTCATGAGGCCTACACAGAAGCCCATTCTGGTGGCTGAGGGTGCTGCAAAGCATTTCCTATAAGGTGGCATTTTGGTTTGTTGTTAGATTTTAAAATATATGTCTTTTAGGATGCACTTCATTACTAACAAATATAATCAATACTTTCTTAAAATGGGCACAATATTTGTATATTATTTATATGATATAAAAGGGAAATGGCCTTGTTAACTATCTCTTCCACCTCTTTCATTTCACTCTTGTCCTTACTGGCTTAACAGCCTCTCCAAGACTTTTCCTTATCAATCGATAAGCCCCATACTAATATCCTAGAGCAAGACCCAATTTTTATTTCCGCCTTTAGGACAGCACTGCTACTTTCGGAACAATGTACCCATTATATATTTCCAATTGTTGGCTGCATACAAAATATGTTACATGTTCTACACACATTTTAAAGGATTTGCTTTTATATAAATAATACCTGCTTTTGACTTAGTTATTGGTAAACAGCAAAATAAATGCTTACTTTTCATCATTTCAAACATGATCTGAAACATCTTTTACTGACATCAAATACCATATGTAGAAAAATATGAATAGCAAACTTAAAATGCACCACACAATAAATGCATTTTAATCATCCCTATTAATTTTTACTGCAAGTTTTAAATATTTAATGTATGGGTAATATCACTATTTTATGCTGCCTTATGAAAGAATAAACTTGATAATTCTTAATGGTACATCTACTCCTCCAGGTCTTTGGAAAGGCCCAAACTATCTACAGAAAACAGCAGTACATGGAAGGACAGTGCCTTCTACACACAGTGGTGCTGCACATACTAAATGCAATTCTGAACAAACGCAGCTCACTTTTTCTCTTGCTAGAAATATCAACCTCAAGTTCATTTAAAAAATGGTTATGGAACAATAAGATAATCCCAGTGTGACAGATATCAATAAAGAATCTTTTGTCCTTCTCCTTCTTTTTAGGGGTGCTATTCATTTTGTAGGGGATCACTGGGGTGAGGAAGGGATATTGTCTTACAGCTCAATTCATACACTGAATGGAGAAGTAGGTACCAAAAGTTAAGAGCCCTCTATGATATCTGCACATCTCTTCTGGGTAACAAGGAGGAAAACCACGAGGAAAGCAACATTGTAACTATGAAGACAAAAAAAAAAAAAAAGAAAAAGAAAAAGAAAAACCCACACACATTGAAAAGAGCAAAACAATTCTGAATATAACAGAGGAGATGACAAATGGTGTGAACATTTCAAAACACTCTACAAATAAAACAGCATTATTCGACAGGATGCAACGAAATTGGAAAAAGCAGCAACAATCCACATGATGAGACACAAGTCATCTGGAATGAGCAGTTATGCATAAAAGCCACAGAGAGGATTTCTGTTCTTACTTGCACAAGTATCTTGAGGGATTTGAAAGGTCTTTCACCATGAAGCACTCGCCTCCATTCACACAGAAAGTTTTCTCCTTCTCTGCACACTTTACAAGATGGCTTGTCCCGGTGGTGGATGTAGATGTAGCTGGATAGGAAAGGAAGAAGGGAAAAGGTTCACCTCTACACTTGATTCCTCCTAAGCAGCCTTTAATCTTAAATTCTCCTAAAAGGAGGAGTTCATATCAGTTACAGAGCACTTCACCAATGTTTCAGATTAGACAAATAATAGCAAAGAAGTTAAGTACTTTCTGGGTATAATTTCATAGATCCAAATTATAAATGATTGTATTATAAGTTAATTTAATTCTAATTAAATGTGAAAGGGGGAGCAACATTTAAAAAAAACAGCATTATACCTTTTAAGATAGTTTGAAGGCAGAAGCCCTATTGTCATTAAATAACACTCATTTTCCAGGAAGACTCAAAGTTAATAGTATCTAGTCACATAAATGAAGCTCAATTTGGATATCAACTTTTCAATAGCAACTAACTGATCACATTCTTTAGAAATTATATTTTATGTGTATGTTGACTTTATGTGTTTCAGAGCAATGGATAGTAAGGGAAATACAATAATATGGTTTATTTGTTCAAAAAGGAAAAAAATACATATTATAATTGAATATATATTAACAGTGAAAAAATATTATAATCAAATATATATTATATATATATTACAACACACAGATCAGAAACCTTTCTCTACACAATTCTGTTCTACTCTCATTTCTACTATGATGGTCATTATTGAATATCTGATTGCTAACATACTTATGAAGAAATGGAAAGAGTCTTATATTCAGCAAATGTAGAGTAAAGCACTACCAAATTTATGTATTTTGAACTAGTAATATAGAAACAAGACCTAATTCTGATTTACAGTGTCTTCATGTGAAACCTTGACATTCACTTGTCAAACTTCACAGTCATGCAGAAATGAAGTTGGGAAGGATGGATTCACCAACCAAAGCACTTGGTCCTGAGACTCAAAGGATGCTCAGCAGCAGGATCTCCCATTTATGTGGCTGGGAAATCACGGACCAGTGATCAGTCTCAGCCAGGAAAAGTCTAATTTACATAGTGTTTACCATAGTTATTACCAGAATGAGAAGCAAAACCTGTATGAGGTCAGTGAAAAATTTATATACTTTTCAATAAAGTAAAACCTATCTTGAGATGAAATTCTTTTCATCTACTAGCATAGTCCCATAAATTCCTTGTCTTTCTTACCAGTATCTGTTTTATCATTTGCATGTGAGTGTCTGATGCTTTTCTTTACATTTACTTGACCTGTCATGTACTGTTTTTCCATTTTATTATGCCTTTTTCATTTCCTACTGAAGTCCTCATTTTGTGACTTTAAACATAATTTCTCCCACTCTTCTTGACTTTTATGCTCTCTGATCAGAAAACTCCACATCTGATTATTCAGTTTCCTAATTACTCAAAGCCTTTCTTATCTACTGGTCTCCAGTCTACTGCAGGTTTGTGGATCATTTTCACTGCTCCTAGCATGGCTTTTAGGAGGAACAACCAAAACAAATTGACCTTGGAGACAGATCTGGTACAAATCCCTCCTTCTGAGGGCTTTGTGTCCTGAACTATCCACCTGCCCAACTTTTCCATTTAAGAGAAAGGGATAATGACAATCTCAGAGAATTTTTGCAGACATTATAAATAATCTAGATAAAGGAACTGGCATAAAACCGGCTTCCAATGAATTAATGTACAAATCTTAATGTGCCAATAAGACAGAATCTTAATTTTGGTATTTAGCAATCAGACAAAAACCTTGACAATGACAATCCAGGAATTTCATATTGTATTCCTGAATCATTACTATGGGTAATTAAGAATTGGGTTAATCTTTTTTCTTTCTATGAGGTGCTGGGGACTGAATCCCAGTCCTTGCACAAACTCTACCAGTAGGCTATATCATCCCTGGCCTGGGTCAATTTTTTAATTACGCCAATAGAACATCCTTTTCAAAATGCCATTCAAGGTTATTTCACAGGTCTACAAGCTAGGAATGAGGGAGCCTGAGAAGAGAGGTGATTTACCATCTCTCTACAGATCAGCTATACTTTAATAGAATCTTTATCAGAATGAGGTGAATGCAATTTGCATCTTTTGGTCTATAAAGCCAGAGTAGACAATATTTCTATACATGGCATAGCATATAATTTTGACATAATGTTACATCTTCATGTGAAAAACCTTATATAGGCAAGAATTAATGTATATTAATACATCTCTCCATGATAACAGCCTTTAAAAGATATTAGAAGGAAGGCTGGTTCAGCCATTAAAGGTTTTGTGCTTAAGAACTTCAACTGCTGACAGCATTCTACAGTCAATGACAAATTAGGCTGGGTATCCTTTCTGCCCCACATGACAGCACTGAATGGACCACCTGCAGTGGGCTGTCACCAGTCTTTCCTACAGAGGGACACTGAGCTACAAGCAGACCCTAAGGTGTTTGAATCCCAACAGGTTGCTGAGGATTGGAGCAGCAGACACTGCACAGACTTTTTAGAACAAATCCTCAGGCTTTTACTAAAAACAATACTAACATCTCCCCCCAATTCACATATACAGCTCCACATCGATTGTAAATAAATAAAAAAAGTTAGCCATGATACAAGCCAGAGATACCCTTACTCCTTAAACTCAGTGATCTTACGGGATTACGAAAATAACTAAGATTAATAAATACATATAAAACTAGAAATAAGTTGTTCATTTGGGGCTCTTAAAAATATTTCTCCCTGAAGTGATTATCCTTTTATACTATCCCAAAACACTTTACTCTGACACGTTCTGTTGAAAAATTCTTAGATCATTACTTGAAAGTAGTACTGGGACCTATGAGAGTAAAATAATTCTTAGAAGAAAATGAAATAGCAATGATTCCAGACAGTCATGAACTATTGTGTTTAGCACTTTTATTCTTTAGCAGCAGGGAGATTAAAAAAAAAAGATCATTAATTACAAAGGAGCAATTAACTCCCAGGTGATACAAAGTGTGAAATGACTGGATTCAGCTGCTCTGAACCAACAGCCAAACACAAGAATAAACTGCAATTGTCAGAATAAACCACGATAGAGAATAAACCACACTCTTCAGATTTCTGCTACGTTTCCTTTTCCTCTCCCGCACACAGTGCACTGTCAGTCCTAAGCAAGCCTATAAATTTTACAGTGGCTTGCACACTGTATCACTAAGTCGGTTTCCATTAGGCAATTCTGCCAGAAAACAATGAAATGGACAAAGCAGGTCCTGTCCCAAACCATGCAAACACCATTCCTTCTAAGGAAGGTGAGAGGAGTTCACTAGAAGTAAGGCTTAAGGCTGCAGCTACAAGGGATTTCAATACATCAAAGATGACCTTTGTAGTTGCTCTGGGAATGGGGTGAAATTGATCTCACTCATTCAGTGCTTAATAAACCCTGAGCCCCTCTGCCTTGGGAGTAACTTGTTACAATTTAGGTGTTACCTTCTAATAAGTGCTAAATGAATAGCAATTATGAATGTTGCTAATCATGACCCCATACTATCATGTTTGTCATTTACATGGAATTCTTTATCTCAAACACACTTTCCTTGGTGGGTTAGCAACTGACATTGTAAAGAAGAAAAGTATAAGTAAAGCAGTATTTTATTATCAGAGAATGTACTAGCCTATAAGTCAGGGCTAGTGATCATGCCCAGGGAGGTTGGACATTCTCTGACTTAGCTGAGGAGAGTAAGGTCACCATTTAGGAACAGCAAGAATCGTTTGTGATGCAATAGGACTCTCTTTCCTTCCCTTCCTCTTCCTTCTTTGTAGCCCGGTTTCTTCACTTCTTCCTTTTCCTGCCTCTCGTCTTCCCTCCCTTCCTTCCTCTTTCCTTTCCTTTGCCTTCCTCCTTCCTTTCCTTTGCCTCCCTCCCCCTCCCCTCATCCCCTTTCCCTTTCCTTCCCTCCCCTCCCTTCCCTTTCCATCCTCTTTACTCTCCCCTCCCCTCCTTTCCTCCTTCCATTCTTTGCTGGTTGCCCATTATGAACAAGAAATAATGATAACAATTAAAGTTACTGAAGTTAAAAATTCTAAAACTGACACCAACTCTCCCTAAAAGGAAACCGTTACAGATAAGATTCGTTGAAGTGAGTATGGAAGCTAGAGGAGAATCAACTGTGCCAATTATCAGTAGGGAATCCTGCCCAGAGACCTCCCCAGTAAATTCAGCAGCAAAAGTGAGATGCCCCAGGGCTATTATAAAGTTGGCTGCAGTACTTTGCATTGGTTCAGCATTGTGCACAGGTGTACAATACTCTGCCTGTTACTGATGAAGAAAAACTGGACAAAGAAAAGCAAAAACACTGGTAGCCTGACTCTGGAATTTTATGAAATCAAGCTTCAAGTGCTATTTCTTAGGAAATAATTTTTCTGCAAAATGTGAAGAGAGATGGCCTAGCTTGAAAGTAGAACCATTGGATAATTGCAAAGCCGTAAGTATTAATAGCCTACTACTCCAACGGCCATAGCTGCTTGTCACTAACTTTTAATCACTAAATTTGCTTACAAAAGAAAAACCAAGAACAACCTGAGTCAGGAGAAAGAGAACCAATATCTTAAATACATGATTATTTTTAACTTTCAAGATATATGTAATATTTCTAACTGAACTTCCAACTTACATTAATTAAGTGTAGTTACAATTTCATATGTTATTCTAATAGTTTAAAAACTATAAAAATTTTTTTTGACACAAATTCTGGCTAAATTTCCCAGGCTGGCCTCAAACTCATGATGTTCTGTTGTGGTCTCCTGAGTAGGGCTTAAAATATTTTAAAATAGTGTGATGTCCATATTGTATGGAGCATAATATAAACTTTGTAATTTAATGTCCCAGAAATCATACTATAACACACTTTTGTAAATATACAGAATAAAAGAATTTTCTGCTCAAAGTGGGCTAAAAAATAAACAATACTGAAAAGGATGGCTTACTTTTAAATGGTGTTTTCCTTATCAGTGAAGTAGATAGGACCACTACATGCATGCAAATTATTGATAAGAAATCACTCTAGTTTGCAGATTAGCATGAATTAGCATGAATAACCACTGTATTCC